CCTTTAGACCCCTTTAGACCTCTTTAAACCCTGCTGGAACTGCTCCGAAACCCTTCAGACTCCTTTAGACCACTTCAGACCCTCTTTAGACCCCTTTCGGACACCCCAGAACCGCTCACACCCACCCCCACCCCCTCATAAACCCTTCCACACCACCTTTTTTTTCAACAGCTCGTACAGACGTACATCCCTCCCTCCCTCCCCCACTCCCTCCCCCACTCCCTCCCTTTAGACCCCTCTTTAGACCCCTTTAGACCTCTGCAAACCCTGCTGGAACCGCTCGACCCCGTCCGTTAGACATCGTTAGACACCGTTAGAGAGTAGCACCCCTTCGAGGACGCGTCGCAGGTACAACTACATTTTTTTGGGAAAATTTGTCACAGCGATATCTGTGCTTGCATAACTACCCGGTCAAAGTACACAAAACTTATATTCATTTAACTTGATTTAAGTTGATTTAAGTTGATTTAATCATTAAAAAAAAAAAAAAATTGTTACACTACCTAGCGCGAATGTCATTCACACAACAGGAGGCCGATGGGCGACTTCTTTTCCCACATTGATTTGATTTGGTTTGATTTGATTTCTTTCAACTCGTCATCATTTATCCTGGCAACCTCAGTTAATGACCGCAATTCTCCAAAAGACCGCCCCGTCCGTTAGACACCGTTACAGAGTGTTTTTTTTTTTGTTTTGTTTTGTTTTTTTTGTTTTTTTTAAATGAGATGTTGATTTTCAATTCGTCTACATCTACGATGATAAGAAGGTCATCCTCATATCAACATCATCACTGCGACTGGGGTAATGAGCGCGATTGATGATCTTTCACGTCGTCGTCGTCGTTCGTCATCATCTCCATCATCGACAGTCATAATCTTCTTAGCCATCACTCATCATCACCATGTCATCACCGCCAAGTCACACGATCATCGCGCTGCTGACGTCATACGATAAACACGGGTATGATGATGATGATGATAATGATGATGAACACGGGTATGATGACGATAATTATGACGTAGCGGATGATGATGATGATAATGATGATGATGATGATGATGATGATGCTGATGATGATAATGATGATGACGATGACGATGGTGATGATGACGATGATGATGACGATGACGACGACCTGGACCATGATATACCGTTACTACCGTCTTCCCCCTTACATAACGCACCCTGTTAATGACCGTACACAACCAATATCTCTGGTCAGGTTAGCGTGCGTTGTGTTCGCGGGAAGACGGTAGTGATCCCAGTACACGTCACCATCATCATCATCATCATCATCATGCCACGTGGTCATCATCGCCACGTCATCGTCTTCATCATCACAACCCCGTTATCGCGCCAAAGACGGCTCCCCACGTCATCATCGAGATTGTCATAGTCCAATCACCACGTCATCATCGTCGTCCACGTCATCATCGAGATTGTCGTAGTCCAATCACCACGTCATCATCATCGTCCACGTCATCATCGTCGTCCACGTCATCATCGAGATTGTCVTAGTCCAATCACCACGTCATCATCATCGTCTACGTCGTTCAAACCACGGGTCAAACCAAGTTCCAACCACCACCACCATCGCGTTCCTCGTCACAACCCTAATCATCAGCGTCGTCGTCATCAAACGCTTCCATCTTGTCATCATCGTTTCGTTCGCTGATGTCTACATAAACATCGAATGCCCTTTTCCCCATCACGCACCTCCTCCTCATCATCATCATCATCATCCTCGTCCTTACTTCATCAACCTCCCCCGGCTTCCCACGACTCTCGTCATAATTACACCGCCTCGCTTGTTCTTTATTTTTCCGATTACGTTTCTTTTTCGGGTTACTCCCCCCCCCCTCTCCCTTTCCTCCGTCGTAATTCACCTTCTCCCCTGCCTCGACTTCTCCCGCTTCCGTTACTGTTGCCCTGCCACGTCATCATCATCATCATCATCATCCGCCACGTCCTCATCATCGTCACGCGCCACGTCATCATCGTCGTTATTAGCCATCATCATCGTCACGTCCAACGTCATCATCGTCGTTAACCACTATCATAGTCACCCGCCACGTCATCAACATGTTCATCATCTGCATCCACCACGTCATCATCATGTTCATGCGCCACGTCGTCATCATCATCATCATCATCATATCATCGGCGTCGTCATTAGCCAAGTCATCATAATCTTGATTAGTCAAGTCATCAACGTCGTAATTAGCCAAGTCATCATCGTCGTTGTTATCCAAGCGATCATCGTCGGTAATTATAGCCACGTCATCATCATCGTCGGTTAATTACAGCCACGTCATCATCATCGTCTTGGTTAGCCAATTAGTCATCATCGTCTTGGTTAGCCAATTAATCATCGTCGTTATTAGCCACGTCGTCGTCGTCATCGAGGCTCTCGTCATCATCATCATCATCATCATTTGCCACACGTCATCATCGTCGAAGAAGCTCTCGTCCTCCATATCATCATCATCGCCCCAACCTTCTTATTCTTACAACCCTGATCTCTTCATCATCATCCTCATCATCATCCTTATCATCATCCTCGTCATCATCCTCATCATCATCCTCATCATCATCCTTATCATCATCCTCGTCATCATCCTCATCATCATCCTCATCATCATCACATCCCCATTCCTCACTCATGAGACCTCTCCTACTCGTCATCATCACCCTCCTCACACTCTTCCTCACCCTCATCACAGCCATCATCACCCCCCTCCTCACACTCTTCATCAATCACCCTCCCATCACACTCTTCTTTTTCTTCTTCTTCTTCTTCATCATCTATCCTCGAACACGTCATCATCGAGACCATCATCGCTCGTCTGTCCTCCACGTCATCATCGAGACCAATCATCGTCCACGTCATCTCATTTGTCCACGTCATCAAGGTTTTTCTCCTCCCCACCACCTCGTCGCGTCACACAGTCCTTGTCGAACAACGATACGTAGCACACGAGAGGGAGCCTTCATCGGTCATCGACACGTGGAATCATCATTAGAGCTAGAATAAATCGAGAATAAAATAAAAATACAATACATCGAGAATAAAATAAAAAAGACAATAAAATAATAGGTACCACAACGACGATAAATTGAACAAGAAAGAGAGAGAGAGAGCGAGACGCGGAAAAAGCAAGAGAAAGAGGGTATACTAATGGCTCGAGAGGGAAAGAGAGAAAGGGAGAGAGAGAGAGAGAGAGAGAGAGAGAGAGAGACAGGGAGACAGGGAGACGGAGGGAGAGGAGGAAAGAGGAAGTAGTACTGACGAGTTGGGTCAATCGTAAAAGGAGGGAAGATATATCAGTTAAACAGCCAAGAAGGAAAAAGGCGGCATAAAATGGCGCCACGGAACCAAAGACACGTCAGCCAGCAGAATTGGCGGGAAAACATGGCGCGAAAGCATAGGAAGAGGGAAAGGAGACAACACAGGAAAATAGGGAAAAGGGGAGGAGGGGGGGAGAGAGAGAGCGCACAGAGAGAGGCAGAGAAAAAAAAGACAAGCACAGTACGACCGGCTACCTTTTTTCTGTTTTATACAAACTCCAAAAGATACAAAGAACGTGGACTTGTTTTTACTTAAATGACTTGGGAATCGACCCACTTGGCGTTTCTCGCGTCAGCCTTGGCTCCAAACTATCAAATACAGTTCAATTTTTTTTTTTTTAAACTATATATATCGTCACAAACAGAACTGCCCGGTAAACCGTAGGCAGAGAGAGAGAAGAGGACAACAAACGAGCGGCTATCTAGATTATATTTTACTTCAGTTTTGTATTAAATATTTATACAAAGACTAATAGATACATAACTAACATTCATCTATAGATAGTTATACTTACATAGTTATAGGGCTATAAACTGCGAACGCCTTTGAGAAAGACGCACGGAGAGAACAGCAAAGGAGGGGGAAGGGAGGGGGGGAAGGAGAGGAAATAAAAAAAGGGGACGACGGCAACAGAGAGAAAGGAACTGGCACCCTTATATATACATATATATCGTCACATATATATATATACCCGCCGAATACGAATACCAACTTCTTGACGTCGAACAAGGTCATCTGCTGTGCATAGATATGTATCTGGGACTTTGTGTTTTTTTATTTCTTTGCAGACAAGAATGACATCCTGGTTGGTCTTGTCCCGTCGTTTGGTCTGTGTGTTGGGGCGGTGCTTGCATGTGGGACTTGTCATCTGGGATCTGTTTTGTTGCCCCCTGTTCTGTTTTATTTGGCTGTTCCCTTCCTCTTTTCTTTGCCTCTAGACTTTGCCTTTTGGCTGTGTGCAAGTGGGTCGATATGACACACGGGGGTGGGGGCAGCCGCCGCTCAACCTACATCCACGTGGGCGGCCTTGTACGCACGCAAGAGGTTCTGAACAGGGGGAGTTGTAAAGAAGAAGATAAAAAATCGAATTCATTTTTTCTTTTTTTTCTTTTTTTCGCTTTTGCGCTCTGATATTCATGTGACAATATATATACATACATATCCTCTTCTCCCTCTCTGCCTACGATTTACCGGGCAACTATGTTCGACTATATCGTTGTCACACTGTGAATCGGAGCGCAAAGGCGGAAAAAGGCAAACCAAGGAAAGGAAAAGAAGGAACGAAAGCCCCACCTGTTCATCACCTCTCTCTCTATATATATATGTTGTCACAAAAATATCAGAGCGCAAATGCGAAAAAAAAGAAAGAAAAAAAGGAAGAAAAACATATATTCATATACAAATAAATATCGTCAAACAGAACTGCCCGGTAAAAAGTAGACCGAGAGGAAGAAGAGGACTAAGTATCTAGTCAACATAGAGTCCAGGGACCCAATATATTGGCCGTTTTACACGATAGGGATTAAAATAATAAATTTATATGTTAGTGTCGCTATAAGTCAGAACGTATTATATAACGTATCACCACATAACAGTCGATATACATGTGTATACACATAGAGATCGTGTATGTGTATTTATATATAGAGAGATATACAAGAGGGGGGAGATACAACCAAAGGGAAGGGATAAAGCTGAGAGAAAAGAGTAGCCATAACATCGCAAAAGATGATGACACTAACATTACCTGTTTTCCTCTTCCCCTCCCTCTTTGATTTTCTTCAATACTCTCTCTCTCCGCATCGTTTGTTGTACTCCTCTCTCTCCCTCTCTCTCTCTCTCTCTCTCTCTCTCTCTCCCTACGGTTTACCAGGTAGTTCTGTTTGACGATATATGTATATATCATGTACATACACGTCTTTATTTCTTCACACACAAAGAGAGAGAGAGAGAGAGAATATAAACCTAGTGTTTATCTATACCCTAGCGTAATCACTAGCTTCTTGCTTCGAGCTTAACACCCCATCATGGGTCATCAAGGTAAACGTACGTTAACGCTATTCCCGTCCAAATACAGCTCTGATGACGAGGCCATCTGTTCGGGAGGTAGGTGGCGTGTATATATATATATATATATATCGAGATATATATATATTGTAACACTGGAATATTTACATAGTCACAGAGAACGACACGGTGAACCGTACGGCTAAACGACAGAAAGGAGAAAACGACAAAAAGGAGGACACGACAAGAAACGCGAGAGTCGCGCCTGACTATTCCGCGAAACTTCCTCGAATGACTGACCGACTCATCAGGATATACTGCACCAGTCATATCCATAGAGCGAGAAAAGGAGGAGGGGGGGGGGAATAATAATAATAATGCATGAATATTTGTCCTGACATGGACGTTAGAAATTCGAATAAGGATAATCCGGTAATAAATAAAAATTGAAATAATGATTACATAATACTAAAGAAATTTTGCGGCAGACACGTCAGCATCATTTTGGCGCCAACGGCGCAGTGACATATTGGTTGTCTCAAACAATATGTCACTGCACCTTTGGCGCCAAAACGATGCTGACGTGTCTCTCCTTCCCTCGCTTTTGCCGATCCCCTGTACTTCAATCCTATGATGTCATATCATGTACACATTCTCAAACAGAACTGCCCGGATATACCGTAGGCAGAGAGGGAGAAGAGGACATATACTATATAAACAGTTTGTCACAGCCCCTCCCTCGTTTGTTGTCCTCTTCTCTCCCTCCCTCTCTGCCTACGGTTTACCCGGCAGGGCAGCTGTGTTTGACGACATGTATGCAGATATCCCATATATATCCAACATATATGCAAGTATACATATACATATATATAAAAAGAAAAGGACAACAGTGACGATATATATAAAAGAGGACAACAAATGAGTGGCTGTGACCGACTGTTTCATCGAAGTTTGACCGACTCACCTGAATATTGACGATATATATGTATATATTCATGACTACGGTTTACCCGGCAGCTCTGTTTTGACGATATATCTTGTCACACTGGACGATATATCTTGTCACACTGTCATACATCCCATATATATATACATATGGGATATATATCGTCACAAACAGAACTGCCCGGTAAACCGTAGGCAGAGAGAGAGAAGAGGACAACAAACGAGGGGCTGTGACAAACTGTTTCGTCGGAATGGGATATATATATAT